TTAAAACAGGATTCTTCCAGGCAAGATGCATTGTTAATAGAAATGCGAGCATTAAGCCATCAGGGAGTAGTGGGTTCTGAAGTTGCCAGCACAAAACTGCTGAGTGAAAAGTTTGGCCCTTCATTGTATTACAAAATTAGAGACGATTGCCTCTTTCTAATGTTCACCTAGAAGTATTTACTGAAATTGAAAAAACTGTTCAGTAGTTCCCAGCTTGAGTTAACACCTTCATTTCTGTGTTTCCTTGAGGCCAGCTTCAGAGTTGTGCAGTAAGTGAAATCCTACACACAAGTTGCAGTAAAGCTACACAAACTCTATAGTAATCTTATCTAATATTTGTGTAGTAACTACATTATTATAAGAGCTTGCCAGATAAGCATTAAAACATTTTTTTTTCTAGTTGTTGATTTTAAACAAAAATTTGGAGCTTCCAAACCCCCTTGCTGTGGGGTGGGGAAAGGATTCCGAGATGAAGACCCAATAACAACATACAAGCTGTTACTGAGCAGACATTCTTTATTGCAGCGCTGGGCAGCACTGGGGATTCTCCACCATGAGTGCTCCCAACTCATATACACCAAAAAATGCATATTCAGTTCCATGTCAATGAGTTCCCAGAGTTCTTTTACATAGTCATTTTATTTCCTGGAATTGGCTATCTTTGTAATTATGCATGCTCGAGGGTCTCCTGTGGGGTCTTTGTTGATTCTAGTCCTTTGTCATCTTTGTCCTGGTCCTGTCTCCAGTTTCCCGCTGGTAGATTGTCCGGGTGGGTCAGAACCAACATGAGTGTTGTCTGCAGGCCCACAGGTCTTAGAAGACTTGATGTTAGCACAACCTGCAGGATGCTTGGCATAATTGACTGACAGTTTCACAAAGCACATTGTTTTGAAAGTAACCCGTTCAGCTAACTTAGTACAGCAAATGAATTATCTTAGTAAATTTTTATTAGCCTGTATTTCTGTTGAATCTACTGACGAGTATCCTATGGCTATCAGATTGGGAGACACTTTTTGTCACTTTCATGTGCTTTCACTGCAAGTCTTTCATATCTGTGTTGGCTTTGTTCAGCTGTGTTTTGGGTTTTCTGCTGGTTTTAATTACACTACTAAATTGGAGAAGGGAAGCAGAAAGATGTATGCCTTTTATTTAGGAAAAAAAAAAAAGTACTTAAAAGCACCATCGGGATTTTTTTTTTTTCCAGAAAACTATTTTAGATTTATCAGAATTAGTTTATTTTGTCTCATCGTTGAAGGATTTTTGGATTGATGCCAAGTCAGGAGTGATTAATTCCTAACTGGGTGTGGGAGACTGTTATTTTAGATCCCTTTATGTTAGTATTCTGTTGTTTGAAAGGATCTGTTTGTTGCTGCAATAAGTTGATGTATGCAGACCATGACTGCCAGCCTCTGTAAGTAGCTAGAGGTTCATTCCAGATGAGCAGCTCGTGGTATTCCCCTGCTTTGTGAGGTCTGCTCTGCAATCTGTCTAAAGATGCCTTGGTTCTGTGGCCAGATTGCTATATAAACTGAGTTAGCTGATTTTAAAGGGATGCTCTGTTAAGCAAGAGTTTTCCATGTCTGTCATTTTTGCCTTGCAAAGTTGTATATTTTTGTAGTGCACCCAGTCTTGTGTTAAATTTTGTCAGTAGCCCTTTGGAAGTGCTGTTGTGTAAATTCTAAACTTCACCTCACCTAGAGTATGGCTCTAGAGAAAAAGCTTTTGGTGTTACATTATGTCTCATTTTTCATGACTGCTGGGAAAAACAGAAGATACCCTGTGTCTGGCCCTGACAAAGCATATTTCATCAGACTGCTGTTATTTCTGTGCAGGCTTTGAAGATAAAGGGTAAAAGGTCATTCTTTGTTTGCAACTAAGGAAGGTCTTGTCTTTTAAAGATAGTTTATTTTTCTGATAATCTAAAGTCTTTTCCCCATGCATAGCCCAAGTATTTGCTTGCTTATAAGTCTTGAGCTGCCTATTTCAAGTATAAATATGCTCAGAAAGACTACTTTTAAGGAAGGCTGAGTGTTTCTAAAACGTGTAGCATTCACGTCATCTTAATGTTTTCACAAAATGTTTTGGTTGTTCTATCAGAAATGAAAAAGCAGTGTGTTATAAGAATGAAGGTGCTCCTTGAGGATTTCAGCATCGATATAATAATTTCATAACAGGTGCTTTGTAAAGGTGATCTTTAGTCCTGACTATGAGTAATAATGTTTCTTCTGATGTCATCTGGGCTTTTTTTGTAGCCAAATGCCAAATGTCCTCTCTGTAGGAATGAGGTTCGGGCAGACCACTTGGTGGAATGTCCCCTAGAAGAGGAAGTAGACTCCAGTAATGGGAAGAAGTCTGATCAGGAGTGGATATCCAGTTCAAAGGTACATTCCATTGTGTGTGCCTTGGCTTTCATTATGGTTTTGGAGAGCACTCTCTAAAATTTTTATGTAAATGTGCTGAACATACCCACAAATATATAACATACTTTAAATTGTTACTTAAAAGTCTTCACGACTGTCTAGCCAGCACAGGGGAAAACGCATAATAAAATCTCATCACAAACAAAGGTTGCAGCAGGGAAACAAGACAAAAGGTGCAGCAGTTGTAATTTGCTGGTCCTTGTGCAGTGTGTAGATGTGTTAAATAAAACTTCTGGTAGAAGAGGAGTTGCTTTGCATTTTGTTTCTGAAGGTAGCATAGTTCTATAAGCAGTGAAACCATTTGGCTCTTAATTTACCTTTGAAAACGAAAAATTACATAAATCCTTCTTTAAAACTTGTCTAAAAAGTATCTATTTTGCTCTAGAGGGGAAATCTAAATGGGCATCATGCCTGCAATATAACAGTTCTCAGATAAACTAGTAAGATACTTTTATTTCACTTGCAGCCCCATTTGTCAAGGTCTGCTGCATCTTTGCCTCACCTTCATGGTGCGTTCGCTGCTAGAAATTAAATCTTCCTGCTTGTGTTTTGACATCTTTGTTTTGAGATTTCTTTTCTGAAACATCATTTTTAAAAGTTTAATTTGTACTTAAATTACTGTTCTTTCAAAAGTTGGTTGTAAATTTATCCCCTAAAAAACTTGCTGTGGAGACCTAAGAACTAGTTTAGGACTTTGTGCTCTAGAATAAATGAAGATTTTTTATTTTTTTTTTCTTTTTTGCCTGGTGTAGTTGCTTGCATTCTGCAGTAATGGTTCTTCACCTCATCATAGCTAAACCTTACATGAGAAGAGTTGTTCTGCCTCAGATCAAGTCCTTGCTCCTTCTGTTCTGTTTGTTTGTCCCAAGAGTGCTTCTGGTGCCTCCTCATTCTGTCATACCTCACCAAGAGTGTGGAACTATTCCCAAGGGAAGCCTTCCTCTCTCCAGGAGAACACTCAACCTGCTGCCTGTCCCTTGCCTGTCCAAGCTCCAGTGTGTGTTGCTGTTTCCCATCTGCCCTGCAGGGAGACTTGCTGCCTGCTGAGAGTGGGAATTGTGTCTGGAAGGGGGCTTGTGAATCCTCTTCCCCAAAGCACCATCAATCAGCCTGTAGCTTGTGCCCATTAAAATACCACTCCTTGGTTTCCTTTGGAAGCTAAAAGAAACCTTACATGCAGAATTACTACTGAACAGTGGTTTCTCAACTGATGTGAACTGTATCAAAGCATCTATAGGAGTAAAATCTAACCAATCAGAATAAGCTGCATAAATCTTTATCTGATTTCAGATCAATGCTCTCATGCATGCTTTGATAGAGCTACGGAAGGAAAATCCAGCTGCTAAATGTCTGGTTGTTTCTCAGTTCACAACTTTCCTGTCACTGATAGAAAATCCCTTGAAGTAAGTATAACTACTGTAATTTTTAATTAATGTGCTTTTGTGGTGCTTTAGAAAGATCTCTCAAAAACAGTATCGTTTTGATTTTTAGAACTTCAGAAGAGGAACAAATTAAATACATTGTTTAGTGGAATAAAGCCATGACTGTAATTCGTGTTGTGGTTTTTTTTAATGTGACATGGGTTAAATGCAGAATTTAAAATACACATTTCAAAGTAGAGGTCAGTATTTATTTCCTGTTGTCACAGAAGATGGATTGTTAAATTCAAAATTTTTGCTTTCTCTTCAGAGAACTGGGCTTTGCCTTCACTCGTTTGGATGGGTCAATGACACAGAAGAAAAGAGTGGAAGCAATTCAGTGTTTCCAAAGCAGCCAGGCAGGATCCCCAACTGTAATGCTTTTGTCTCTGAAAGCAGGTGGAGTTGGATTAAATCTGACAGCAGCTTCCCGAGTGTTTTTAATGGATCCTGTGAGTAATGGGTTGTTTATAATATGGCTTAATCTAGGTGAAGCTCCTCTAGTGTTTTCCCAAGGGGTGGGAGGAAAGCCCCTCTGAGAATGAACACCACTGATGGGTGTCTGTGAAGGGCATATGGGGCTTTTCTTCATTTATTGCCCCACCACGTTTTTGTTTTAACACAGTATTTTTGTGCTGTCCATTTATTTTCTGTGAATGGAAAGAATACCAGTAGTACTGGTAACAGAGTGGTGGGACACCTTACACCCTGGCATTTGATATCCATCCCTTCTCTGTTTCTTTCTTTTTGATTCTTTTGAATGTGTTTTTATCTTTTGTTCCACTTAATAACTTAAAAAGCCAGAAATTGGAATTTCAGAAACAGGTTTGGGTTTTTTTCTGGTGATTTCTAAATTTAGGAGGTTTTCCCTTTCATTAAAACACTTAGGAATGCAAAATTATTTGTAAGGAATAAAAATATAAATTACACTTACTGATAGCAAAATGGTATTCTTAACAGAATTGGTTCATATCCTGTGTGATTGTACAAAGTTTTTCTCTTCACTTCCTCT